AAAAAAAAAAAAAAAAAAAAAAAAAAAAAAAAAAAAAAAAAAAAAAAAAANAAAAAAAAAAAAAAAAAAAAAACACACATTGGATCTAGAGTCCAGACTCTTGAAAACATTGACAAGAAAAAGGACTCTCGATTCAAGCAGATTTAAGCTTAAATCAAAACGAAATCCGCTTAAATTAAGAGGCTAGGTCCTTGATTTAAGCTAGATTCTGATTGAAGCAAGAGCACTTTTTCTTGTCGATGTTTTTACGAGTCTGGACTCTAGATCCAATGTGTTTCTTGTCCAGTGCTTTGCTGCTCACCTTCCAAAGTCAGATCCTCCGAACTTACTCAAAATCAACGAGTAATTTACTTGTCGCGTAAAAATTCCATCATTTCCCTCCAAAAATAGAGGTCACGCGCCCGATGCCGCGCGCAGAACTGGGTCAGTTTCTCAATGTCTAAGTCAGCGGACGTAACGGGCAACGGCGCGGCGGCCGCGGATCCTCAGTATAATTTTCGGTAGTTCTCTCCAGGCGAGCGCGAGTGTGTGAGAGTGTGGATATGTGCGTGCGAGCGCAGTGATGCAACTACTGACGCGCAGCGTGGCGAAAAATTTCGGCTCCTGAACTTACCCGGTCTGCTCAGAATGTATAATGACCCCTTCTTAACCCCCCCCCCCCCCCCAAGCCGANATGGACGATCGCGGGTCTTCGGTGCGGCGCTCCGTTTTTCAACGGCCGTCCGAGCTCCGATGATTGATTCGTTCGAATTTTGACGCCTTGATACTCTCTGACGACTTCACACTTCGGGACGACGCGACGCAACGCGACGTTGCCGTCCAAGACGTGGGGATTTATTTGTGACCGTATTTGTGATAACGGGCCTAAGGGCCGTCCCTAAATACGTAAAGCTTTAGGGGAAGGGGGGTCGAGGAGAGCGTTACGCCATTTTTTGTTTACGTGTTAAAGAATAGGGAGCATATAAGGAAGGGAGGGACGGTCAAATGCCGAAAAAGTGCGATACACTGGGAGAAAAAAAAAAAAAAAAAAAAAAAAAAAAAAAACATGGATCAAGAGTCCAGACTCTTGAAAACATTGACAATAAAAAACACTCTTGATTCAATCGGATTTAAGCTTAAATCAAAAGGGAATCCGCTCAAATTAAGAGGCTTGGTTCTTGATTCAAGCAAAAATCCGATTGAATCAAGAGTATTTTTTCTTGTCGATGTTTTAAAGAGTCTGGACTCTAGATCCAATGTGTTTTTCTTCCAGTGTACGTAATTTAGGGACAGCTCCTTACCACAAAAATTCAAATTTGAGGTATAAGTATCGCACCGCATACAGTAAGGAAATCTTGACACTTTGGCGCAGGTTTGACCTTCAAAGCTCAAGCATCGTGAGAGATATGATGTTCAGAAGTTCCAAGAACGATTTTTAAATGTTAAATTAAATTTTTAGGTTAAACTTTTAGGTAAACCTAAGGTCAATAATGTTAATATGCGCTCAAATGAGATCAACTAGCGCCCACTGTGGTGAGGACCTTAAACGGAAAACGTGCGCAGCTTGTTTAAGGGGCGAGAGCTTTTCCCGTCGAGAACTCGAAATCGCCCATTTCGAAATTTTGTGCTGAATTTTCCTCGCTTGGAAATTTTTCCGTCTGAAGATGAGGCCCTTTTTGACAGATTTGGCCTCAATCACAAAACAAGTATTTTCGAGACTTTTTCCAGAAGTTAAAACACGCTCTACTAGTTCCATCCAATTCTATTCCATTGGAAAGAGAGCATAGTCTCTCGAACGCTGACTGTGTAGACTGTCGACGGTAAACAGATTGGCATTGTTCAGTGGAAACAATTTCAACGAATTGCTGCTTTTCGGAATCATTGAAGGAAACCCGGATTTTTTAGCTGAAATCTTTGACTATCATTTGAACGTGAGAGCAGAGCGCAGCATTGAAGTCTGATACTGCCGACTGTAAGTCTGCAGACCGTCTCGACTTGAGGTTCAGGACTGCTCCGGTGTCAATCGTGCCAGCTCTTCCTATTGTCATAATGCTCTCATCCATCATTGCCAAATACTCAACCATAATTCCGATTGATCCGTCTAGAGTAATGACGGTTGGCACAAATATTTAAGGGCAGTTTTAAAAAATACCAACGGCAACACATTTCATATTCTTTAACGAAAAGACATTACTGATATTCATGAATGGTCATACACGGTCAAGACGGTATGATGTTTCACTCACTAACAATTAACCGGGAATATTAGCAAAATTCATATTTTGAGACTGACTACAACTATTCTTTTGGCTTAGGAATTCGCTATTTGTTCTACTCATGCGTTAAAGTCTCCATGATGGCATTGGTGGTGTCAACATGGTACTACGTTCGTATTAGTATGATCGTTTTCAGCAGGGCAGTGAATGAAACGAGCAAAAGAATATCCTCACAGTTTTCACACTGAAGAATTGTTCAACAAATTATGATATCGTGATCTAATCGGTTAAAGTACAATTCTTAAAACCAAAAATGCAGTTGCTTGACTTCACGGAACTGTAAATTGTCCAATTGTTAAATCCCCCCCCCCAAAAAAAAATCCTCTAGTTAGAAAAATTTTGCGCACTTAGCTCATCAAGGAATACCTTAAGGACCAATAAATCATTCTTGGAAGGCATGGATTCGATCGACGACATGAATCGATCGAAAAAGAAAAGCGCGAATCGATCGAGGTAAACTGATATCGACACCAATTCCATCGACAAATGATTCAAAACCCGGTGTCGGTTCAATCGAACTTACTTTATCGAAAAATAAAAACGGGAACCAATCGACATGATTTGATCGACACCGATCGACATCGATTCGATCGACAAACTTGTGAATCGATCGATAAAGCTGTGAATCTATCTAAAAACCCGTGAATTGATGGATAAATCCGTGTATCGATCGGCAAAGCAGTGGACCGATCGACAACTCCATTAATCGATCGACAAACCTATGAGCCGATAGAATCAGTGTCGATTGAAACCGATCGATGGATCGGTTCACGTTTTTATTTGTCGACCAATCATTCCCATCCATCGGTCATTGTATCCATAATTCTCGTGCACAATCTCCATTCAGGATTCGAAAAACAATTTCTGGTTTGATGAACCAACGTTTTATGAGTGCAAGCGCACGATGCACAGAGCGGCGGCGCTGGTGTGATGCAACCCGTGGCGCACGGCACGGCTCAATTATGTAATTTTGCATTGTTTGCCATTTAAACTACTTATCATCATTGTTTGACTTGGAATCCACCCTCCTCCTCCCACCTGCGCCCTCTTCAAGTTCAGGATGAACCCATTCTTCGCCGCCCGGTCTCGATCCAGGAGTCCGCCTCGCGTCGAGTCGGGGGTAATTTCGGCCCCATTATTTTCCTACTCGCACTTAAGATGTCAGCAACCCCCGCTACAAGAATGTTATACCTAGTCATAACCTAAGTTCCTTTATAGGGAGAGTTAAGACGTCCTGGGTGTTGATGTCACAAACCATTCGTAAGATTATCGATGGCGATACTCCTAAACCACGGATCTCGGTTTGCGATGTTGCAGACCTGTCATACACATTTTTCTTTAAAAAGAAACTATCCAGCATCAATTACTCAAAACCTGCGTGAGTTTCTGTCGCAGTGCGAAGAAAATTCTGTGAAAATTTCAAGAAATAATGTTGATTTCTTCTCATTCAAAAAAATCAAATGAGAGTGCACTGGAAAAAAACACATTGGATCTAGAGTCCAAACTCTTGAAAACATGGTCAAGAAAAAATACTCTTGATTTAATCGGATTTTTGCTTGAATCAAAACGAAATCCGCTTAAATTAAGAGGTTTGGTTCTTGATTTAAACTAGATTCTGATTGAATTAAGAGTACTTTTTCTTGTCGATGTTTTTAAGAGTCTGGACTCTAGATTTAATGTGTTTTTTTTCCAGTGCGTATAGTCTTTGCAAACGGAATATGTGGTTTGGGAGTTTCATCGGTGCTGTATTGTTTCTGACTTTTTTCTAAATCTTTGATCAGACCCAATACAATTCTAGGGGCTACATCCCATGGCCCCTACGCGGCCCAACACGCAGAGGGCGCCTCGCGTAGTATAGGACCCTCACGAGTTATTCGTAATGGAACGGGCTCATCTAGGTAGTTCGGGACTATCTCCCATTTATAGATAACCGCTAACCGCTAAAATCATGTTTGGTACAGTAGATCTTTTGCATGTATTATGATAAAAAAGGAACATTAGTGTTGTTTAAGTAGGAGAATTCACAACCTTATCACGTATTATAAAAAAACCTGGATAATTTTTCCAAAATCTACGGGAGGCATTCTGAAGGGTATATCTACTACCGTGCCGTGTTGAACAAAACGGGTAGGTAACAGAGGAGGCGGGTATGAGGTACTTTTTGGTGGATCTATTAGCTATTGTTGTGAAAAATACTCAAGTTTTATCATCTAATTATGAAGTCAGAATCTCAGGGCTTTATCAAAAACAGTTTCCATTTCACACGTATAATTAATGAGTGATGGAATACAGTTTACCTCATTCAATTACTTTTTTGTTCAAACTCTCAATGCTGATGGTCTCGTCCCGCATTGTTTTCCGCGAAAAAATGTGAGCGCACTGCCACACTTTTCAAAGTTGCCAATAATCGCAAAGTTTTAGATTCGCAGTAACTTTCCCATTTAAATGGAGGCACGTAGGATAAAAAATACGTGCACAACTGTATTTTTAACCCTTTTTTGACCAAGAAACTTTACATCATCTTAGAAGTACGATAGTATAACTACAATTTTAGTAATAATGTTAACAATTTTTTATAACAGTTTATTTTTGTGAAAATATAATAATGAAGGTATCATGATAACTCAAGTATTTTAAAACCAGCAAACAACTTTTTTCTCAGTTTTTTAAAATTATCAATTTTTTTTTTATTCTGTTAAGTATTTTGATTAAATTAACCTAAGTTTTATTTTACCCTCCATATAGGTCGATCGAGTGTCTCAAGAGCCGTTGCAGCATTCTATCACAACTATTAAATGGTAGAAAATTGCCATCTCACCTGCAACATAAGAAACAATATGGTTATTAAGGAGGTAAGTGAAAAAATCTGAGCAAAAACTTATTTGTACAAATGCCCTTTCCAAACAGTGTTCTGCCAAAATCTTAGGAGCCACCATCACGAGAGAGCCCAATTCTTAAGAGTCATCTATAATTTTTCAGGGGCTAAATGAACTTTTTGCATACGCGTCACACGCTATCACTACTTCATAATTACCAAGTTGAAATAGACCACGTTCGGCAGATCGGAGCCAAGCCACATCAGCTATTTTCAAATTTAACTGGGCAATTTAATTCTTTACAAGAGACAGTTTGTGCGGATTCCTCTGAAAATTTTAAGGAATTTGCTTAGTACCATGCAGAAAATTTACTGGAATTTGCACAAAAACCCGCATAACTGTTTTCATGTAAAGATTCAAATCACTCAATTGAATTTGGCAATAACGGATGTGGCTTGGTTCCTATCAGACCTACCTGCTTAACGCGGTCCAAATGGACTGCATTTTGCAATTAGGAACTATAAATTCTGGCTCTTCTGGAAAAACACTTATGTGCATAGGGAAACTAATGGCACATACGTTGTTTTTAAACCGGGCTAGAATCTATAGGTCCAAATTGCAAAATGTAGTCCAAATAATCGACGGATTTTAGGCGCAACGATGACCCAACCTTCACAAAGTTTAGGTGACTAAGCCTGAACGACCGAAGAACTCCGATCACAAATTTGATAAACTGTATGCCGTTGCAACCTCCTGCCCCTCCCCCCTCCCCTCACGAGCCTTTAAGAGCATCATTCGTAATCTCTCTGTAAAAGCAGCATTGCGACGGCGACCATAATGTGTCGTTTTCGAAACCAGTATGCAATTATGACGTGGGTCCTGTCAGATCACGAAGCGCTTACGGTTTTACGTCGTAAAGGAGGTGCAAGTAATTCGGAGTTTAAGTCGGGCCATTCCGAAACAGCTTTCATACACTTACTTAAGGTGAAAGTGACGGTAAGAGCATGTAGATATTACATACATCGTTATTCACGCTGATGTGATCGTTTGGTATATTTTGGTTGGTTCGTTTCGGACCCTTTTTTGTTAACCCCTGTCAAATGATCGGTCGGGCTTGTGGATTTTAAAATCCTGCGAATGAGAGATTAATTGGAGCGGTATTCGCGTAAATTTAGTAAGAGAAATTTGTATAGTTCTTGAAATTGATGAATTTTATTAAAAAATGAAAACTACTGTGTTAGCTAACAAGTAAGAGGATATCATCCATTTATAATTCTCATTCATATCTCAGTTTTTCTTCTGAAATGGCTTGAGTTACGCCTTTGTTATGAAACGAAGTAAAGCATCCTCCGTTTTTGTAGTTTTTTTAAAGAGCATATACAACACTATGCGAAAGAGCAAGGTTGCTGTATTTTGACTAAAATTAAAATATTTTGCTCTTAAAATCCCCCTTCAAACTGGCAGGACAGCTTTCTAGCTCCAGCTCCAGCCCTCTGTCTCTGCATCTTAATGTGGCCAATTACAGACACAGATTCGCGATTAGAGTGACGGCAAGTGACTAACAACCTGAGCTTTGCAAGTTTGTTATGGGCCTGAGAGCGGATTACGTACTTCATATCTTGCAGGATTTTACAAAGGACGGAGTGTTGGATCGTATAATTCTTAATATCTCACAAAAACGCCATTGTTACCACTCAGCTCGCGTTACTGCACTCCCAAACATTATCATTCAGATCCGAGTATAATTTGCCTGTGTATGTCCTTCAGTAGTATTGAATGTATTTAGTCGCTTTTTGTAGAAACGACGCATAGGCGATGCAGTCTTGCTCGGATCTTGCAACTCGTTTGTTTGCATCTGATTACGCTGAAAGCCTGACCTACTAGCTGATCCTTGAAATTGATAGACATTTCTATGGGCAAAAGAAGACAAAGGAAAAATGGAGCGACCCTATTGGTGGAACGGTTTGGCTGTTTGACTAGGGGGGGAAATGGTGGACTAACTATGAGGTCTCTAGTGAGTTTCCGTTACCTAGTCTATTGCATACCTCTTTTGCCCTTGCAACTACCCGCTTCCTTCATTAGGCTCGCTCCATTTTTACTTTGTCTCCTTTGTATATCGTTCTGTCTATAAATTTCAAAAATTAGCCCGCAAATTCAAGCCTAGCCATCCATGCCTCGTTTTACGGGGTTGGAGTTCTTCAATCAGAAGATTAACTCAATTCGATTGAAAGAAAACCTAATCAAAAGCAACCAACCGAAAATTTGGGTTACTTTGTATTCTACTTCCCGTGTCCCATGTCAGCACACAATTTTGATCACTTATCTCTCTGCGCACGTAGCAAGTAAGTATAGGAGAATTTATAGGATGTGAGCAACGCTTTATGGCACTTAAAATGTTTTGAATTTGGACTCATGAAAGGCGCAGGGCGGAGACGAATAGGAATTCGAGGAGAATTTTCAGGAAATTAGCAACGCCTCATGGCACATAAGATGTTTTGGATTTGGACTCATGAAAGGCGCAGGGCAGAGACGAATAGGAATTCGAGGAGAATTTTCAGGAAATTAGCAACGTCTGATGGCACTCAAGATGTTTTGAATTTGGACTCATGAAAGGCGCAGGGCGGAGACGAATAGAAATTCGAGGAGAATTTTCGGGAAATTGGCAACGTCTGATGGCACTTAAGATGTTTTGGATTTGGACTCATGAAAGGCGCAGGGCGGAGACGAATAGAAATTCGAGGAGAATTTTCAGGAAATTAGCAACGTCTGATGGCACTTAAGATGTTTTGAATTTGGACTCACGAAAGGTGGAGGGCGAAGGGCGAAAACGAATGGGAATGCGACCCGGAAGAGGAGGAAGAGAGGAGATGCGTATGTGATAGGAAGTGGGCGTGTGAGCGAAACCAAGTTCACGTAGTTAACTAAACGCTATGCATGAGATTCGACCGCTGATATTCATACAATTCAGTGAAAGTTCATGAGCAGGCTAGTTAGTCGCAGTCGGGAGCTCAAGTTCTGGTTCATTCGAGTGGGGTGCCTCCTAATTCCATGCCAGTGTCCGAGTTGAAGACTGGGTGAGTGAAACATAGAGCACCTTAAGGTGAATCCTCAATTGAAACACTGAGGTGCAGGAAGGAAATTTCTTGGTTGCGGTGTCTCAGGCTCTCCGTTAACGTAAAATCCACTACACCTAAAGTTATTGAATATTCCTCATGATTTTACAATGCTCAAAACTGAAAATAGACCACTAGACAAGGTACGAATTCAAGCATTCTGCAGCCGGATTGTTGAACCTTTAACTGGCTATGTCGGCACGATAAGACAAGACATAGCCCTATCTGCGCCGGGTAATAAATCGATTTTCGATTCATGTCGTGCCGACATAATTTTCAACAATCAGGCTGCTGATACATGTTTCTCAACCAAAATTTCACGTAGAGCACGATTCGCGCAACGAAAACTAATGAAACAAACTCCAAACGAAGATATTAACGTTTTTATTTCACATTAGTGTGAAATTCAGGTTACGAGAAATTTGACAAGAAACTCAAAGCTCTACATGAGTCAAATCGCGCACTACAACGGTTTCAACAAGCCTCTCAATCGAGTAATGTTCATTTCCCACCACGTGTTGTTCAAAATATAAGCAATTGGCTACAGCTGAGCCAAAGCGTCAAGATTGAGGTTGCCAGATTTTTTTATCGCAGAGACTGTCATTATAACGTTCAGCGCACGATGTGAATCACGCAGAGCATTGAGTTTTCATGAGCGGGTGGCTTGAATTCACGCATCAAGAAATATTAAATATCTTTGGAATGAGTTGATTTCGATAATTTTCGTTGTGCGTATCGTGTTCTACGTGAAATTTTGGTTAAGAGACATGTATCAGAATGCTGAAATTCGTACCTTGACTGGTGGTCCATTTCAGAAAATTAACCCAATTGTGTCCTCTCTAAAATATAAATTAGCAGTGGAGATTCTGAAACAACACAACCAAAAAATACTCCCTCTGAGCCCAACGCCTCGTTTCGATTCTAACGCCATACATTCTAAGTACGACCGAACTTCGAATTTCAACCCTTAGATGGATTTGCGAGGGGTGGGGGTGTATTAGTTTCCAAATTGACCTTTAAAATATGTTCTTGCCAAAGCACATCCTCCAAAACCTTAAAATGATGTTAAAAGTACTATTTTTGATGAACTATCGTTACTGATACATTATAGAGTAGGTTTACAATCGGGAATAGTACTTTTGAATGTAATTTAAGATTTTTTACGAAGATTTCTGACACTTGCGCTCCGTAATGATTGATACAGAGACTGAAAATTTCGAAGTGATGACTTTTCGCGTGGTTGGGTATGTTTGTTGCCTTTACGGTGAAATTGAAGGCTAACCTGAAGTGGGCGATATTTGTCAAGAGGTTTATACATGGTCCAATAGTTGAGCAAAATTTATGGAGCGAGAGTATTTTGTGTTTTTAGAATCGATAACTATTCGCGCTAGAAGACGAACTTCAAGTTGAAGATATCTGCTAATAGGTTTACGCATTGTCGTTGGCTCTATCAAAGTTTATGGAGCGAGATATATTAATTTTTTCGAGTAGGCAACTATTCGCGCTCCCCGGTATGTTTGTTGCCTATGCGGTACAATTGAAGGCGAACTTCAGATAGACGACACCTGTCAATAGGTTCAAACCATCTTTTGGATTACATTTCGCAAAAAGGAACCAAGAGGATTCCAATGTCGCTAAGATTGTGCAACTTCGTTTGCCTTGCAAATATAGACAGATTATCTGAACAAATTTTATCTTTACTCCCAATAAACTATAACTTCAAGACAAAAACTACCTTGGTAAATTTTATTTTTTGCATGAGTTCAGTAATTATATTGATAGAACGTAAGTTACACAATCTTAGCAACATTGGAATGCTCTTGGTTCCTTTTTGCAAAATGCAATCCGTTTGTCAATCGAGCTTATGGAGCGATGTAAACAAGAACTCACATCTTATTCCCTTCATTTTCTCTCCCATGTAGA